AAATGATCTGGTGAAATAAAGAAATTCCACCCATTCATTATACTTATACTTTTCAATAATCTCTGGAAATATAAATCTAAACCTAGGCTAAAGTTATTAACATTTCAGAAAGGTGATAGTCTTAAACAGGTGGCTGATGCATATATAATGGAGCTTTGGTGTTGCTATCCAATTCTTCGTACTCCAAAAATTACTATGGATGACTCAATGTGCCTCATGAATAGAGTGAAAATTGGAACTGGCTGATAATAGGTTTCTAGTATCTGGCATAGGGCCTTGCATGAACGATGTTCATAACACTTTGTTGAACTGAGCCAAACAAAAAGATAAAGATAAAGCTTCTCCTCTCCTCTCCCATCCCCCACCATAATCTCATTTAATTAAAGACAACAGACATTTCTTTTAAAAGTATCTGCTCTAAGGAGGACGCATGAGGCAATAGAAAACACATAGGCTTTAGATTTTTATGGATTCAAATCCCAATGCTTCAAATTACTCCCCTAAGGAAGTCACAAGCACTTGGAGCCTGAGTTGCCTCATCTGTAAAATGAGGGATTTGGATTAAATGATCACTGAGATCTCAGTTCTAAAACATAATCTCCTAGGTGTTGTCCCTTATTAACCTGTGGTAGATTAAAAAAAAAAAAACTATCCAGCAGCTAATATCCTACTGTTTAGCATCCTATTATAGCTTTCTGCCTATTCTTGGTCAAATTACTCATTCTAAGAGTCTTGTATTGCATGGTATCCAGTAACCTTGACTCAGACCTTTTTCCTTAAGCCCTAAGAAATCTCAGTGGAAAACTTTGTTCTTCTTATTAGACTCCTTCATTACATCTGCTTAACAAAGGATAATAAAATAAGATTATACAAAAATATGTTTTTGTTGCAATTTCATACAATTATATCTATGCAGAATTTCCTATTTTCCCACAATTTATGACAAAAAATTCTTTAAAAATACCAGCAAGAGCATGTTATGCTTAGAAAGTAGTTGGTAATTACAATTCAGATTTTGACAAAGAATGATAGCACTTATTTATCGCTGAATGTTTGGTTCAGTAAATAGCCAAGGTATATATAATGGAATATGCTCTGAATCCCATTTCACTTTACTAAACCATAATGCAATCTTGTCACTACAGGTAAATCCTTATTTTTCTTCTAGTTGTTACTGTTTACTGGAGAGAAAAAAAAAACCCAAACAAGCCTTCCAGTTGTGATAGGGTAACATGAAACAGTAATTTACTACTATATGCCAAAATTCTTAAGGACTTGATTACCCAGGATAAAAATGTAATTTCTTTTGATCTATCACTTAATAGCTTACATACACAGGAATTTTATCTGGAGTCACTAACAACAGGAATCATGTTAGTGAATTTTGCAGCTACTGTGGTTTATCCTTTTTTTTTCTCATAAGGAACCAATTAAAGTGTAATTTCATCATCACACAAAAGGCTTTTAAGTCAAGGGAAAATAATTTAAAATCAATCGAATCTCATATCAGTTTAATTATGATTAATTTCTTTTGTAAATATAACCCAAATAAAAGTCACATGAACTCCACTCTCACATTTCCAACCGTCTCCTCACCTCTCCTGCCTGATGCCCCACTGGCATTTTAAAACCACCATGTGCAAAACCAAACTCATCTTACCCTAAACCAGCTGTTCCTCCTGATTCTATTTCTCTTAATAGTAGCACCATTCTCCTACTTGTCCAGGCTTGAACCCTAGGCCACATCTTTCAGTGCTCCTTATTGTTTAACCTATTCATCCAATTACTTGATGAATTCTGTAGATTCCAAACTGAAATGTCTTCTAATCCATCCATCCTTTTCATTTATATATCAACACACTATTCTGGTTTTGTTATCTATCAAAGTACAATAGCTTAGATTAATAAGTGGTCTCCCAGATTCATCTCTCGCCCCTCTCTAATCTATTTTATATGTAGCTGCCAATTTAATTGTCTTTTTTGGGGTGGTAGGCAATGGGGTTAAGTGACTTGCCCAGGGTCACACAGCTAGTAAGTGTCAAGTGTCTGAGGCCAGATTTGACTCCAGTCAAAATCCGGTCCTCCTGACTCCAGGGCTGGAGCTTTATCCACTGCACCACCTCCCTGCTTCAAATTTAAATGTCAAAGGATTTCCTTGATCATGTTATTCCCCTGCTCAAAAATGCTCAAATAGCTCCCCAGGGCCTTTTAAATTAAGTCTAAAATTATTAGCGTGTCATTCAAAGCCTTCACAATCTGAACCTGATCATTCTATTCTGGCTTATCTCTCACTACTTGCTTAGGTAGTAAGCCTTTCAACTTAATTGGAGTTGATGGTCGCCAAACATAGGCTGTGCTTTATTTGCTTTGTGGTTTGCTCATATTGTCTTTTTTGACTGGAATGTTTTGCTCTTCCCCCAACCACCATCCCTATTTGTGGAAATCCTGACCCTCTGCTCCATACCTCCTTCCCCTGGCCTGCACTGCATCTTTTTTGTGCCTCTTCTGTCTTAGACTTTAGCTGTTTGTACACCTGGTTTATTCCAAAGGTTCCCAATTCCCCAATCAAACTCCTACTGGACTAGAGGCAGCACAGTGGCAGGGCCTAGGTCTAGAAAGACCCCAAAACAGTACCCCCCACACAGGTAGGAACTCAGTAAATATTGATTGTATGAATGAATGAAAAAATGAAATATGCTCTATAAAAATAAGTCAACTGCTAATTACATTTCCATGAATGTATAATTAGCATACTGACTAGAATTTTATATATTCATTATTACAAGTTCCCGATAAAAATGAAATATATACACATGAATATCGAAAGGGCTCAAAAACATTTTACAAATACATTCTGCTTTTTAGTACACATCCATTAATTTTGTATAAAACTAAAAGATGTAAGTAATCAATGATATTTATATTAATATAAGTTTTATATGGATAGAAAACTACAAAATAATTAAGTTTTTCTAAATGATACATACCATATGCAAAAAATAGAATGTTTCCATGCAATGTAGGAATATCCTGTCAATTTAGTGAAAGAAGTTTAACTGATTGTTTAAGTTTTTCAGGTGTTTGAAATGACTAGCAAAATTGATTTTCTGATGACACAACTTTCATGGCAATGTGATTAAGTAATGTAATAATGCTATGCAAGAAACACTGGGGTCTCATACCTTCAGATTACCAGCGGCAGTAAGCACTGACTTCACTGCTCTCATTCCATAGTCATAATGGTGTTGAGATGACAATTGCTCTGAACACAAACGATAAGTAGCTACAATTTTTACTGACAGGGGTCGAGCAGTAACAAAACCACAGGAATAAAGGACGATTTCTGCAATCATGGCATAATCAGGCACCATCATTGCTACTGTTCTAAAGAGAGCCTATTAAAGAGAATAATCATATGTTTTAAAATGGATAATCAGAAAAATAATTCTCTTTAATATTTATCAATTTAATGAAATGCATCATTATATATTTTTGCAATAGTATCAATTTGCATTAAAGTCTTCTCAATCAACATAGGGACAATTTTAAAAATTGAAAGAAAAAAGTATTCCATCATGGTAGCATAATAAGAAACAAGGCTTCACTTTTTTCTTAAAATTCATATTTTACAAGTTTAAAATTAAAAATTTTTGTAATTATATTTTTGATTACTTATTAGTTCACAATGAAATTAACTTATAGATCAACATGGTTATCAATAAGGGGAGATAGAGCGGAAAGAAGAATAAAAAATGAAACTACAGCAAATATTTAGAGAATTCTGCAAATAATCCATTCCTTATATGGAGGGAGAGAAATGCTGACTGCACTCTTCACTCATGACCTTACATTTATTTTACTAGGTATACATTTGGTATACAATTATATATACATATGTTCTTTTCTCCAATAGAATGTAGGCTCCTTGAGGGCATGGATTGCTTCATTTTTATCTTTCTATCCTCAGCATCTATATGATGCTTAGCAGAAAGGAAGTGCTTAATTAGTGCTTATTTGATTGATAAATCAGCCAGGGCCACATATTATATTAAAGATCAGCATATGGTACCTTCCTGAGTTCTACTTAGGAATCCTCTGTTTGCTATCAGCCCAGTAATGAGGATGATAATAATTATCACTTTAAGGTTTGCAAAGCACTTTACAAATCTTATCTCAGATGATCATGACCATAATATTGGGAGGTATGTGCTATTATTATCCCCATTTTGAAGTTGAGGAAACTGAGGCAGACAGCGATTAAGTGATTTGCCCAGGGTCATACAGCAAATATGTATGTCTGAGGCTGGATTTTAACTCAGGCCTTCCTGATTCCAGGTTCAAAGGTTCCAGCCACTGTGCCACCTAACTGCTTTTATATAATAAGATGACCATTAACACAAGGGTGTGTCATTAGCAAGGAAACTATAAATAGGGTGCATACAGGAAAATATTCTAAAATAATCATGTTGAAATCCTGGAGAGATGGCAGAGCGAGAGGTTGCCTAGGGACAGGTTTCCATCACTACATGAAAAAATACATGTGAAAAACAAATATAACAGCATTGACAAGAACACAAATGAAAGAGCCCACCACAGGTAATTTTTAGAGGAAAAAAATAACTGAAGATCAACTCACTAGCCCATGGTTCTGTGTTACAATCTCTTCTGCTCACCCTCATCCCCTTTTATAACCTCCCCTTTGCTGGCTTTGGTGGTCTTGTGAACCTCAAAATCTTCTTGGTTCCTATAATTTAAGCACCTTACTTTTAAAATTAACCCCTTTGATTTTCCTGGGGTGGGGGATACTTCATTAATAGGGTGAGTTGAAGTCAATAAAATCAGACCATCCCTAAAGCTTGAGAAGATGGTAAGAGGGAAAGCATAGAAGAGTATGAATTCTGGGAGAAAAGAAAGTGTAGGAAGGAGGACACCAGAAATTCAAAGCTGAATGAAATTCAGTGATATAGTACAGAAAAGCAAACAGCCAACAGAAAGAATGAAAGGAAGATAGAGAAGTCCAAGGCTGCTAGACGCATCCCACAAGTGTCCTTGACAATCCTCTCCTGATGCCATGATGACCAGCTCCCTAGGACCAGCCAATACAAGCTGTGCCCTTCTTTGCAACTTAGGATCTTTAAAAGTTGCCTAGGATGCTGAGAGACAAGTGACTTGTACATGGTCACACAGCCATTAGGTATCAGAGGCAGCACTTTTAAACCGCAGTCATGATGGCTTTGAGGCCAACTAAGTATTACACCATGCTCCCTTCCACTAAAAAGGAAGAATTCTAAATATTCTTTCAAAAGAGTCCAGGCTGAACAAATTGTTCAAAATGTGATTGATCAAATAGTAGACAGTTTTTGACAGAAGTGCAATGTTTATTTTCTTATTTTTGTCTAGGGCTACACAAGGTCATGAATGTGAGCTGCAGAACATTTCTGTTTGATTTTCTTTTTAAAAGAAGCACACATTGAGTAATAAGAGTAAGAATACTAGCTAACATTTATACAGCACCTACCGTAAGCTATGCACTGTGCTAACTGCTTTACATATATTATCTTATTTGATCCTCACAACAACCCTGGGAGATAAGTGCTATTATTATTCACATTTTACAGATAAGGAAACGGAGGCAAGCAAAGGTTAAGTGATTTGCTCAGGGTCACACAGCTATTAAATGTCTAAGACTGGATTTGAACTCCTATCTTCCTGACTCCAGGCCCACAGCTCTAACTACTGTACAACCTTGGGCTAGAAAATCTAACCGAATATGGTGGGAACAATATCCTAACCTCTCCCCTTATCCAAGAAAGCTAGTTTTTGCTTAAAAGGTATTGAGACATTTCTTGAGCCTTGTTTGGCTTAGGGGACCAACATTACTTCCTTATTGCCTTATAAAGAAGCCACAAAGAGCTAGAAGGTCTCTGAGATACTTGGCTGGTGGATCACAATAGGAGTTTTGCTCAGCTAAATCAGTTCAGGGGGTTCTCAATGCTTATCCTTGTGAAATCTTCTCATTCTATGGCTAAATCTCTTTTTGTTAACTATCGAATGACTTAACAGTGTCATTTTGTTCCAGTATTGAACCTAACCTACCAAAGTACTGGTCTGAGTCAGGCCCTGTACGGAACACAGTAAAACAGTAAAAATTAAGAGAGTAACTAGAGGAAGTGACTTAATATTTCAGGGGGAAAACTCATCTCTTCATTAATAAATCAATCTTGTATATGGGACACTTCTTGGAGAGGGAAAAAGTATGAGACAAGGGGCTTAAGGACTAAGAGCAAAAATGTATATGAGGAAAGAAAAAAAGATCCATAGGTTCAAAGGGAAGTGGCATGATATAAAAAGGGGTAAGTGATGAAGAAGAAAAAGACAAAGATCAAGGGCAGGGCCTCCAAAATAGAATTACAGAAACTTTCCCTCTATTTCCTGATACCTCATTGAGAATTAGCACTCCTGGGAACAGAGAATCGAAGAAGGAGTAAAGGGGTAAGAAAAGGGGCAAAAGGAAACTTGACTTCTTGGAAGGGGGCACTGCAAGTTAATTTCTCTGAAGCAGAAGAATGAATGAGGTGGGTAGGGAGCATGAGGTACCACGTTCTGATTTTGGAAATGGAGAGGTAAGAAAAGCAAAAGAGGACAAATCAAAGAAAGTAAACCTGAGGATATTGGGATTGTGTGGGTAATGGGGAGTAGGAGGAGTGGAGGAAGGTGATTTGAGGGGAGGATATTAAGTTCAGATTACTGTAAGCAAATTATAGCAGAAAATTATGCTGATTTGAAAAAGATGGTAAATGTGTGTGTACTTAATAGAAGAAAACAAAAACTTGACAATAATGTCCTAAATGTCCTCAATAAAAAGGGGAAAAAAAGAATAGAATAACAAAATCCAACATTTTTCTGCATGAAAGAAACATTTAAAGCATGGTGATGCAGTGAAAATGAGGAGAATAGAACAAAATCTATTATATTTCAGGAAACTCTAAAATAGAAATTGAAATAATGACATCAGATGAGATAATATCAAAAAATTCAAGGGACACATATGGGGAAACTACATTATTCTTTTTTTTTCAGTCAAAGACAAGGCTTATTAGAACATCCATCATATTAGGCAGACCCTTAAGGAGTCTGAACATTAGTAAGCTATTGGCTAGATTTTAAGAATCTGACCAATGGCTAGATTATAAGAATCCCAGCAGTGGCTAGATTTTAAGAATCTCAGCCAAAACTATATTATTCTTAAAGATACCACAATGAAAAAAAATAACAATATTCATTGAATATATACCAAAAAACACCTAGGTTCTTAAAAGGAACATAAGGTGAATAGCAAAAAAAACATCAATAATAACACAATAATATTAATAGTCTTTAATGTTCATCCTTCAGAGCCAAATAAACTCAATAAGAAGATAAACAAAAACTCTACTAAACTGAATTATTGAATAAAAATATTTAACTGACCTAATGAAATATCTAAATGGGAGCACTTTAGAGGATACATATTTCTTTCCAGTCCATGATCCCTTTATTTAAAAAAAGCTAATGATATGCTAAGGTATAAAGAATTCACAAAAAACCCCACAAAAATGCAGATATAATAAATAATATAGACTATTTTAAAACATATATATGTATATCTACACACACACACACACACACACACACACACACACACACACACTCTATACCTCTGATTTCCTTGCAGTGGGGAGTTCCTAGTGAGGAATTCCTTCTAATGCAGATCATCACTTACTCAGCAACTTAAAGTCTTTGCAAGTTGAGTGGGCTACTAAGAGGTAAATAACTTGCCCAGGATCACAGGCAGTATGTGTCAGAAGCACATCTGAACCTAGATCTTTCTTACTTTAAGGCCAGCTTTCTAACCATATAATTATTTTACTTATGCAGAAAGTGCCTTTTTGACAAAATACAACCCTTATTTATATTAAAACCCTAAAAGCAAAGCCATAGGAAGGTTCTTCTTTAATTTAAGAACTCTGATCAATGCAATGACCAATCATGATTCCAATGGACTCATGATGAAATATACCACCTACTCAACTCCAGATAGAGTACAGATTCACTTTTTTTGACAAAGCCATAAAATTCAGGGATGGGAAACCTGAGGCCTCAAGGGCACATGTGGCTCTCTAAGTCCTTAGGTGTGGCCCTTTGACTGAATCCAAACTCAGTCGAGGCTGTAGGTTCCTTACCCCTACAGATGTTTTGCTTAGGTCTATGTATTTGTTATAAGACCTTTGCTTTTTTTTCTTTTTCATGGGGATTTGGGGAAAAAGAGAATAGATGCATTTTGGTTAACATTTAAAATATATAATTTAATTTTAAAAAAGAAACGCTAGCTCAAAGAGCTTAGACATTTTCTTCAATTTCTTACTATAATTCCTCCCAATAATTTATGGTCTCAGGTTATTAAATACTGGTTACTGTTTTGTTAAAGCCTCCTTATGGTAGACATAATATTTCTACTATGCTCCCTAAATTGAATTTTTAAATTTCATTAAATAACCTTCTTGCTGGAGTATAAGCATAGTAAATAGCATGAGGTAAATGAAAAAAAAAAAAGAATACAAAATGGATGAAACCATTATTCCTTACATACCTTCAGATTATCTGGTAGTTCTGAACGTCCAGCATATCCAGGATTCATAGTTATAAAAACCGCACAAGTTGGGTCAAGTTTTAGTTCGGTTCCTTCAAATGTTAGTATTTCACAGCCCGTATTAATGCCTGCAGATAAGAGAAAACAAAATATTTTTGATACATTAAATCAAAATATGACTTGTATCATGTGTTACTGTATATATTCATCCTACTAATTAGTAATATAAAAAAAAGTATTACCTCTTTGGATGGTAAGAATTTGTTGAGCAACCACAGAAAGTACTTCCAAATCAATTCTATTAAACTCATCGAAGCAAGCCCAGGCTCCACAAGACAACAGTCCCTAAGAGAATCCAATAATGAAACTTTTCATTCTTATCCAAATAGAACATTGCAAAGAAAAGGTTTTCTTCTCCATAATCTCTTCCATCATTTAATATAATACAAAGAAAATCCCCTATTCATATTCATAAAATAGTTCATTTCCTCATCACTAGCACATTATTCACAAATCCAATTTCTGACTTGGAACAATTTAAGATTTCCACTACATATATACATATTTGTGGTGTGGAAAAAACATAAGATGTGTAATGAGAAGACCTGGGTTTGAATATTGGCTCTGCTACTTCCTACCTCAGGTTCCATATCTGGAAAATGAAATGATTTCTCAGGTCTTTTCCAATACTATGAATTGATGATTATAAGTAAATTTAATATTCACCTATATTTCCAATACTTACTCTATGTGGCATTTACATTTTGGTTTATTAGCTTTTTCATAGCTTCTCTCAAATACGGTGATTTAGATGATGCTAATGAAAATTTAATCTTTGTATGAACTAATTACATTTGTTCTGTTTCATAGCTACAGACAACATCCCTAACTTCCAGTTCCCTCACAAATACTTGTTGTTAAAATGCAGAGGGAAATGGACAACCCAACGTGCAGCACAAATCAATTATTAGCATGATATATTAGAAAAAATACTAGTCAGAGTCAAGAAGACCTGGGTTTGAACTAGCCTTTGACACATTGTTATGTGACCATAGACAAGTCACTTAACCTCTAAGAGTTTCAGATTCCTACATTTATATGAACTGATGCAAAGTGAAGTGCGAAGAACTGGGGGACTGCTGTGCACAGTAACAGCAATGTTGTAATGATAATCAACTGAAAGACTTGGCTATTCTGAGCAATGCAATGATACAAGACAATTCCAAAGGACTCATAATGAGAAATGCCATCCATCTCCAGAGAGAGAACCGATGAACTCTGAGTGCAAATTGAAGTGTAATTTTCTTGCTTTTGTTTTGCTTTGTTTTGCAATATGGTTAATACAGAAATATGTTTTGCATGATTTCATATGTAAAATTGATATAAAATTGTTTGCCTTCTCAGTGAGTGGGGAAGGGTTGGGAGGGAGAAAGAGAATCTGAAACTCAAAATTTAAAAAGAAAAGAATATTAAAAATAATAAATAAATTTTAAAAAGATAAATTTAGGGAAAAAAGAATTTCAGATTCCTCATTTTTTAAATGGAAACAATACTTCTCACCATTGTTGTGAGGAACAAATGAGATAATGCAATATAAAATGATTTTAAATTGTAAAGGGTAATATAAATTTTAGCTATTATCGGAGCCATAACTAGAAATCATTGTGCCCGAGGCAAGAAGGTAAAGGGTGAAATGTGAGAATGCCTGGAGAAAGAAGTGCACCCCCAGATAGGGTTTGAAAGATTTGCCCCGCCTAGGAAGGTGGGGAAAGAGACTAAGGACTGAGGGTGGGGCCACAGAAGAGAAAAAGAGATGCTGCTATAATCACTCTCTAAAGTTCAGCATTCTGGGGAAAAGCCTCAATTGCCTCACCCTAGTAATAGTTCTGTTTAATATCACTAAATGAAAACCAACTCAGAGCAGATCCTCTAGGGAGAGTAATTTTAGTATCCAAAAGACAGTATATTAGCATTGCTTAGGGAGATATCACTCCATTCAGCTTCCCCTATTGTAGCATAGGATTTAGGAGAAGGATGTAAGATTGGAAAATACTCAACTAAATAGAATATGTGGGTAATAAGCATATGAAATATGGGTAAGTTATATATAACATGTATACAATAATCTAAAAATAACATAAGCATCTGAAATTAAATAAATAAAAGGATCATTAGATATTAATTATTGATTCTTTAATTAGTCAGTAGTCCAATGACTATCCAAACTTCATTTAGTATCTCTTATATTAGGTATTTATTCAGTAGACACGTGTATACATGGTTGAAACTGCAGCTGTGGAAATAGAGGCAATATGATACTCAAGTACTGTTCACTACAGAAACAGTCCATATGCAGTTTGTTTGTAATAATGCCAAAAATATTTAGAGATGCAGCCAGGTGGCACAGTGAATAAAACACTGAATCTAGAATCAGGAAAACCTGAGTTCAAATCTGACCTCAAACAGTAATTAGCTCTGAGACCCTAGGCAAATCACTTAACCTCTGTGCCTCAGTTTCCTCATCTATAAAATGGAATCACTAATTACTACTATCTCCCAGGGTTGTTGTGAAACTAAAATGAGATGCTTGTAAAGTGCTTTGCATATCTTAAGGTATTATATAAATGTTAGCTATTGTTGCTGTTGTCATTGTTCAATGATTTATAAATTAAAGTGAAATTTTAGTCAATCATCCGAATCATTGTTTATCCAATTTAAATATCCAGAATTCAAATATTTTTAAAACAAATGGATAATTGGAATGAATTTTTCACAAAATCTAAATGTTTTGACAGCCTTTGTGCCCATGTCTTTATGAAGTCAACACTTCATTTCACGAAAGAATGGACTGATGAATAGGAG